CCTATCCCTCGTGTGCCTTGCTCCACGACTATATATATATATATATAGGCTTATACAAACAAAGAAAGTTTGAAGAGAAATAAATAGAAAAGCAAACAGAGAGAGAAAGAAGGGTGTCTTATTGGGCTAAGTAGGCCAAGGCCCAATAGATTCTTTGCGGGCCAGGCTTTAGTATTGCACGTTCGAGGTAAGACGGGTTTTTGTACGGTTTTCAGGCTGGGCCTTACCTCGCCGGGCCAAAGTATTTTCAAGCTTTGCTAGGCCCGGGGCAGCCCGGTGGCAACCCTACTTACACCCCCAACCTGATTATTTTGAAAGAAATTGGAATCATACCTGTGGTTATGATTCTAGTTTCTTAAATTTTGAACACTTTTTATGAAATTTAATTTCAGAGGTAAAATAATTTCTTAATCATTTTAAGAGCCAAACGTGAAAAAGTGGTACTTTTCTAAGAAAATAATTTCAAAGAAAACCAAACGTGAAAAATTAGTAATTTTCTAAAAATATGATTTCCAAAAAATCATTTTTATGCGAACCAACCGTGCCCTTAGCTTTGACGAGGAGAAAAAGTTTCAACAAAGTCCTGACCTAGAGAAATTAAAAACCACGGCTGGAAAACTTCGCCCACTCCAATCGGATTGGGGCAAGTTATTGAGACTTGGCCCTTGTCGAGTCAGATACTCAGGTTAAACTAGAGGAAACTAAAAATTTGACAATATAAAAGTTATATTAATTTGTAAAAGCCAATGTATAAAATTCTTACATATAATTTTTGATATTTCATGCTCTTTTATAAATTCGTCTTTTACATTTTCCTTATTTTTATATTTTTCTAAAATACCTCCAATCATAAATCATTTTTCTAAAAAAATTGTTTACAAGAAGACTATTTATCTTTTGTTCATAATGATCACATTTATTCTCACTCATTAAATTAAATGTCAAATTGAATGGCTTGGAGTGAATCTCGAAATCCAAAATTTTTGTTTGAAACTTTGCATCTATTCAATGACACTTTCACAACCACCCATTTTAAAATTTAAAGAACAAGAATGACTGTGATCTCCACATACAAAAGATAAAAAAACCCATACACAAAAACAAATTCCCTTTTCTAAATCTATATTATAGATTTTCTTTTTCCATCTTATTTGGACCTTTCAAGTTCGTTTTTAGTTTTAGTTTGCTTTCACTAGAACTCGAAAATTTTCCGCTTTTTTTGGCTCCATGCATTATGCGAGCAACCTGGCCGAGTTGCGGAGCAGAGTTTTCAAATCTTAAAACAATCTGGAGGGAATGTTGGGGGGAAATAAATATCCTAGAGGCGTGGGGTTTGTATGGAGTCTCTAAAATTAGAGGTGTGGGGTTTGTATGGACATACTAACATTATAAATACAATGAAGCATTATCAGACATCAATTGGCCTTCAAATTGGTCAAGAGGGAAATGGGCTTGAACAGTCTGTATTGGCCAAGCATCTGAATAAAACTACCTAGAAAAAACTTGTAAATTACATCAACTTTTAAACAAACCAACCCCAAAATGGTAAGTAATGACTTAATTTCTTTCGAGAAGTGCATAATACTAATAGATGTGGATGACCAAGATGATGATTTTCTATTATTACAAGTGGTAGCAGGACAGGCGCAGCAGTAAATTCTTGTATTCACATTCGCTACAATAAGCAAGTCAAAATAGACTGTAGCATCAAGAAACGCGCATAACCTCGATGCCCACTAGCATTTTCAGGTTGTCTTCATCAAAAGTGGGTAGCATGTCAGTCCAAAGGAAAACCTAAGGCATTCACAGAACAGTTCCCTTCGGATCAACAGTAATAACTAGTTAACACTTAAAAAACAATATCCAAATTGGACTGTTGTGGCTACCCTCTCTCTCGCTTCGGAAGTCCCATTCTTGTCTTCGCGTACCTGAGCATATTGGTAAAGGAATCCTGATTGCTCCATACATAGAAACATGTGAAGAAAACTAGTGGAAATGCAACATTAAAATCGACAGATCTTCAAAAAGGATACTCCAAGCGCATCCCCTTATGACCAGATGAGTAGAGGATGCTACCTTGTAGGAGATTTAGGGCTTGGGTCGAGCATGTGGAGTCCTGCATTGCTCAATATCAGTAGGGTAGAATTCATGCATATGCACCAAAGCTCATCAAAAACAAGAGTTCTCCAACATTTGCACAAATTCCTACACAGTAGCACTTTGCAGAGTTGAGTCCTTTTCTGTTGGGAAGTTATCAAACTCAAACGGTGTTCGCATCAGGGCTAGCTAGTATCGTTTTCTTTGGATACACAAGACAATACATTCTTGCTAGAGCATGATTCATGAATAATGAACATATTAGCACCAAAGAAAATGTTCTTGGAGCACAACTATTGCACACTAAGACATGAAGCACTCAAATATGAGGATTATGCTGTAGATTGGAGAATGATCAGAAAATTGATGGATTTGTTTATTAGAGATTTGAAATACGACCTTAGACGAGATCAAATTTATCATATATCCAGCTGGGTTTTCATAGCGCTACGTCTCAAGATCCATTCCTATGTACACTTGTCAAAAATAAAAAATAAATAAATAAAAATGCAACCTCTTAACTTGAGGATGGCAAGAACCCACATACATGTTGGATAGTACATGAACGAGGACTAAACCACCAAAAGTAATAAGTGCATATAGCAAATTCAAGCAAGCTAGAGAACAAAGCAGCATCATTCGCAGGGATTATAAGCTAGAGAGGAACGCCACCAAATTCACTCATGCTCTTCTCAATCTTGGTTTTCACCAGTGCCCGGCTGATAACTCCTTATTTGTTCATCGCAGCTCTCATGGTCTCGCTGTTCTTCTTGTCCATGTTGACGACATTGTCCTCACCGGTAACAATCTCTGATTGGTAGTATGATATAAGCTAGAGAGGAATCACAGGCACTCAAGTGGAAAGGGAGGTGGAAACATTAAAAAGAATAGATCACAGATGGATGTTAATTAGCTTAGAATAAAACACAAAACAAGAAATGGCTTCACTCACTTTTAAATTGGTGTGGAAAAATAAGAAAAGTGAAAGAATAGGTGATGAAGCAAAATAAGAAATCAAAGAAATTTCCAAGCGATCCCGAATCCCTAGAGTCTGTAGTATCCACAATTTCTTTATCAATGTTTTTCATAATTGCCCCCTTTCTTCTAAAACCACATATTCTCTAAAACTCCTAGCCTCCTTTCGTCGTGATCAACAATGAATTACCAAAAGGCATAGCTTAAAATATTTTCTCATAACATGTGCATGAGCCATAATCTGGGACATAAATGCATAGAAAGGGAAACTCTTCACAACAATACGCAACAGCATCTCAAGTAGTACACAAGTGAGTTACATGTTAAATGACTAAATAACATCAGCGTGCCTACATAAAATAAATTGGAAAAGAAGAAACAGTATAACAAAGCTAGACTTCCATATGCAAACGAATTTTGAAAGACCACACAAGTACATGGCCATCCCTAGAAGCATCTCAATATCAATAACATTGACAATGTTGCCACAGCTGCAATTTATTACACCTTTTGGTTACATATTATTTGTAAAACAACTATATAGTACCAATGCATAGGAAAGCTAGATATTATGATGAAACAAGCTATCTCCGAAAGGAAGGTACCCATGCAATGCTGTATCCACACACTAGTTTGTAAGAAGTAAGAATTATTCAAAGCATAAAGGAAGAACAACATCTTTATCATTTAAAAGATTTGAGGCTTGAGCCATGAACCTTAAAAAAGCAGTAGACAAAAAACATATCCACACTATCACCAGCAGCAGTTTCCCTACGATGGCAAAAAGCTAACCCAAACTTATGACAACATCATTCAATATCTAACTATAATTGCAAAAAAGAGAGCATGTTTACAAATTCACTACAATGGAAACAAACACGATCCTAAAAAACAATACAAATAATTAAATAAAAAAGGAAAAACCTGATGAACAACAGTCAAATTAAGATCCCATTTATTGGCTAGACACAACTGCCTTCAAGAAAAAATCACGAAGTCTGTAAAATAGGACGTGCTAAGACAAATATCACATTTATAATTAGCATTGTGTAATACAGAAAGGAAATCAGAGATGTAGCATACAGTAAAATACCAATATTCTCACTTTCTATGTATTTAAGCAGAAGAAGATGAAATGGAAAAACAAGACGTCACATGAAATCTTTGAAGACAATCACAGTTTCCAGAACTCCTGCATCCATAGCAATGATGTTATTTCTGATCCTTGATTTTGGTCTAGCTTAACCCTTTTTCAGGACATTTGTCTCTCATGTGACAATTACACGGCTTCTCCTTGGCAGTCTTTCTAAGCAGTATGTCTAAAAATGTCCATTACTTGAGATTATTAATTGCAGTATTTACCAAAGACAACTTTAACTACTGCTCATACCAGAGAAAAAGAAAAGTAATATTAAATATTTTGTGGTGTCATGGTCTGCAAAGACATACATCTCTCGCACTAGCTTGTAGTTTTCAATCAGTTATAACTAGGTAGTTTGAATGGTACATTACTTGTTGATTATTAACTAAGTTCAGCTTTCACATTGCTCGAACCTGATATATAAAAAAACAAAAAACAAACCAAATACCTGAAAGTCAACAAATGCAACAGGTGCTCCATGTTTCATTTGCATCTTCAGCTTCAAAAATCCCGGAAATCTAATTACACAAAAAAGGCCAGAGAAGAATTATAGCTGTAGGGAATTATGCATTTCCCTGCAAGCAAAATAGCAATTGAATCCAGCGAAAACCTCGAAAAGACTTGAAGCAGCTCGTCTTCAGTGCAGTTTGGGCCAAGATTTGCAACAAAAAGAGTTGGGCAAGCATTATTGTTTGCAGATGGTGGGATTGCAGGCTGCCCCTGAACAAACATATAGAACCCAGGCTCAAATTTGGGGCAACAGAAAGCAGGACTTGAAACATATGCATGCCAAATTTCAAACAAATATGTTCCCTTTGTTAAGGTAAATATTTGACAATGCGTGTGCTCGAAATTGTGGGGAAATAATACAACTCAAAAAGGCACGACTTAAGATTATGTTAAATACCAGGATTATAAGTGAGAAACTTGAGCACAAATTTGGAACGTAATAGGCTAGCCACAGGGGCTTACATGCACAGGCAAGCATGTGTGTTACGCCTCCTATTATAATGTATTGTTTTCTTTTTCTTATAGTTGACCGAAGTTTTCATCAGTATGGTTAAGCTTTACAAGTATGTATTCACAAAATTTGTCGTGATTACAATGGCACTAGAAGACTACAAAAAGGATACACATAAGGAGGACCTCCTACCTCCATCCCTGGCCAATTGGTCAACTATGTCATTTGTTCAGCTCCAAAAGAGATGAAGTGCAACAAAGTGGTTGACAAATTCTGTAAAAATCTCATTGACAATTCCTACTCTCCATGGATGGTTTCTTTCCTTCTTAGCCCTTGAAATAGCATTTTTAGAGCCCCCTTCTCTTACAAGATCCTTCCATTCTGGTTTTAAATTTCGAAGCCCTGTTAGCAGTGCTCCTGCTTCCACCTCACGACCCCATTAGCATCACATCTGAGCAGTGAGCCTGCAAAGGCCATTATAACACTTCCGCAATGATCCCTAAGCACTTCCCCACCCCAATTGCTCCGAGTTTCTTTGGGAGCTGCCATAAAAAATTTACGGTTCCTTCATTAAGTAGCATCCATAACCCTTAACTCCTTTTCAGATAGAGGGCTGATATTGGTATTGTATACCATTGATTCTCGAAGACATCTATTGAGATTCCCTGGAACGCCTTTTGTGCCCGCGGCCAAGGTATAACCCTGATGTTGATCTTGTCCATTAACCAAGTAAACCTGTAATATCTTGAGTCGAATGTGTGAGAGTTTCTTTTGGTCTGATTTAACCTTAGGATTGCTAGAATGCACATTATTCATAGAAGCAGCCCTCTTTTGTAAATAGCTGAAGTAAACCATTGGTTCAATAAGGCATGGATTGATTGTAGGATTGGCCACTGAAAATGAATAGTCAAAGGAAGTATTCCCATATCTAGGCTGTGGTTTCACAGTGCATGAATAATATACATGTGCTTTACGTCCTCAACCTCCTTTTTGCACACAATGCACCTATTAGGCATTATCAGCCCTCGGCTCACCAAATGACTGATTGCTAGAACTTTAGAAAACATCACCAACCATCTAGAAACTTGCATTTTTGGTGGAGCAGGTATCCCCTACACCTGGGATGTAACTGGAGGTTCTTGGAGATGGTCACTAAGTTTCCGATTACAACATTTTAACTGAGTACATACCTTCATTCTCCTCACTTGACTATAGTATTCTCTCTGCAAGGAACGAAAAAGAACTCCTAAAATGCACCAAGTAATCCCTTTTTCTTTGATGAAGTTACAAAAATAATTTTAAATTTTTTTTCCTGATGAAGACACCAAGTAATCCCCTTAAAGCCTCATTTCCTCATCCTTGAGACTTCTTCTCAGTTTCGGGGTCCAAACAGCCCTCCTTCACCCTAGTTGACTTCTTGCACCATCTCCAGTGGTGTAGCTGCTACTGTGAATAGGCTCAAGTGTCCTCCTTAACAGCCCTATCATTCAGTCAGACGCCCCTTAAACCTTATCTTCCAATTTCCAAACTAGATTCCGGTTTGTCATATAAATGTGGATTGATGCTATTAACTCCTTTCTAATCCTAGAAAGTAGCTTAGTGTTCAGGTGATGTTTGATAAACCACCCATTAACATCAAATCGTACTTCACTTCTACCACTTTCTGTAGAAACGAAAGACAATCCATGAAAACTAGAAAGAAGAAACGAACACAAAAGAAAGAGACAACCAACCACAACACAATAATATACGTGGTTCGGCAACGTGCCTATGTCCACGGGAGATGAGAACTACTTTACTGGCAATGGACAATAGGGTTACAAAAGCTCTCTTCCTCACGCCTCTCTGATTACAAATCAATCTGCGTTTTTCCCATAACCCTAGATAAACCCCCAATCGCAACAATATCTATCGAGTCTCAGATAGATGGTCCAAATTACCGAAATACCCTTATACATATATATATTAAGTCCAAGATATATCAAATCCCATGTACGGAGTCATCTTTTTTACTCCACCTTAGCAGATCTATTTCATCATAATACAAGACATCAATCCTCAACACTTTCTTCCATAGCCTGAGTGAAGGTTCCCAAAGCCTCCACCACCACTTAACAAGTAGAGCTTGATTTGTTTCCTTGATTTTTCTTATCCCCAGGCCACACATGTGGTAAGGACTTTGCACGTGTGGCATATTGAATCTACACATGTGACATACTGACTCCCACCTCACAAAACGGAGTTTTTTATTCTCTCCTACCCCATTCCGTAGACAGTGATTCATTTATTTTTCTATGGTCTTTACTACTGATATGGGAATTGGGAACAAGGATATTAGCCTATATAGGAAACCATACATGACTTTATCAAGGTAATTCCCTCCGATAACGGACTTTCCACGAGGTTTCCTACCCACTCTAACTATCAACCTTACATAAGAGGATTTTGGGGTTTACCTTAGCATAGAGATAAACGCAAATATGTACTGGTAAGGCCATCAATCCCTCATCCCATTGTCCAGGCTAAAGCATAGTGATTGTTTTCTTAATCTGCAACCCCAAAATCCCTTCTTCTTCTTTTTTTAAAATATGTGACAATTTATATATTGACAATATGACATGTTATATAAAACCCATGAGGTGTGGGTGTGGGCATCTCATGTATCAGTTGCTCTTACCAGTATTGCAGCCCCAAAATCTTTGTATTTGCAATTTCACCTTCATTGTCGTGAACACCTCAAAGCACTCGAAATATAACCAGAGGTTGTCAACATTCTCTTCAATGGGTTTATGGACCAAGGCTTTGAGAGGTGTCAGCAGCCCTCTTCCATAAAGGCCTCAGCAAATACCAAGGTGAATGAGAAAGTGACAGAGAGGCTCTCCCCTAATCCTTTTTGGAAACCACACTTTCAGGAACACATTAACGAGCACTGAGGAATTAGCTGAAGATAGACAGCCCAGACCCACCTCCTCCACCCATCCCCGATGATTAATCAGTTCTCCTTCTAAATAAATCGCCCCAAACGAATTTCCAGATCTCATATGACCAATATGCCCCCTGATGCCCTATATGAGGCAAGCTTTCTTCCCCATAGCAACCTTATCTCTGCTAGCCCAGGCTCCACGATCTTTGTTTCAATGAGGATCAAAATTTCAGTCTGCTTCCAATGCACAAGGCAATACACTGTGTGCCTTTTTATCAGGGTCTCTGAGGCCTGTAATGCTCCATGCCATAAACATAATTGCATACAGAGATTCTTTGGTACCCAGAAAGAAAAAGGAATATACAAAGCCACAATTCGCAGAATGTTGACACATTTTTTCAATCAATCTAAGGGATCATATATGATGCTTGAATTACAAACCAAGCTAATCTAACTATCCCTCATATAAAGGAGAAAACCAAAAGAGGACTCTTCAAGTCCATTGACTAGGAGGACACCATTGCATATATAAGAAAATTCCGGTGCTTTGAGCCCGTAATTATTATGAACACTATAGCTTCCTAATTTCCACAATGTTCCTGCATCAGTTAATTGAAGCAAAACTCATAACTTTTTTCTTTTTTATTTATGGAGTGATTTTGTGTTAACTGTAGGTAAAATTTACAACTTGAGCATTGTATCAGTTGAAGCTACTCAGTGCATGGGAGGGTGCAAGCAAGGTATGTACAGCTTCGATGAGGAGGGGCTCTAGCTCCATAGAAACAGTCATTTGGGGTTGTTCGTTGGGTTTGTTTGGAGATAGAAACAGCATTGAGTATTGGCATGGACCACTACCCCTTATCTGTTTTCTTAACTATCTTCATTTGCATAACAAGTACAGCAAACTTCTATGCATCATACAAAGAAGCAGGAATTTCCGTCATATATACTAACCTAAACAAAAGAACATAAAAATAGAAGCATATTTTCTTATTAAGTGAAACTAAACTGCCTTTCAGTAAGAAATACTCTGATGACTAGACAGCAACCTACTCAAGAGGAACTCTGGCATGGGGATATCGCTCAGGTTGATATAGCCCCCTAACTTCACCCTTCATCAAAACGATGTCAGTGTTATCACCCTTTGCAGAGTCAAAACCCTCTCAAACAGCAAGATGCATGGGCCAATCACACATAGCATTATAATGAAGTGCATCTCCTAATCCAGGTTTTTAAGGTTGAAGGATCTTGAGGGCCATGAAGACAAGCACAAAAAATTGGGATTCAATGCAAAACAAGCGTTGAATAGCAGATGGTTGGTGGAAGAAGGAATGGACCTCCGTAAAGGGCCAGGGTGCTAGTTGGAAAGGAATTTTGCCTGGTGGATGACTTGGCATAGAGGATTCACAGAGGAATGAAGAAAAGAATAGTCAGAACTTCGAAGGCGATCCTCCAGATGGTAGATTGCAGATATATGGGTGTGTGTTTGTGTATTTAGAAAGAGAGAGAGGGAGCGAGACAGAGAGATCTGTTGAAGCTGGTCTGAACCTTCTTTGAGTGGCCAGAATCTGGTGGAAACTGAGCACTGGAAATGATTAAGTGCCCTGCACCACCGTCCATGTCACGAGGGAGTATGAGAGAAAAAACTTAAGGGGGGGAAGTATTAGCAAATAGATGGAAGCTGAGTGGAGGTTTAGAAAGGAAGGCAGAAGGTATTCGTAGATCTGCTTGGGCGCTAGAGGGTTCAACTAGAAGTAGGCAGGGACTTGTCTACCAACTGCGAGGGCAATAGGGAAGTGAGTGGGGGTGACATGGTGACAAGGAAGAAAAGAAACA